CAGTTTCTCTGCATCGCAGGGTTTTCTTGCTTCAAGTTTCGGGTGGGCTTCTGCTTTGCGAAGGGTCCTCAAGTCTACCGATCAATGAGGCTTGGGAGGGGGTGACGCAGGGAGGGGCCAAGAAGATGCTGTTTTGACTCTGCCGAGGTAACAGCAACAGCAACAGCATCAGCACCATCCCAAGCTAGATTTTGGACGGCCGCCCGCAAGACACATGCCTTGAATCGCCCTGAGTTTCACACTCGAAGTAGGCAACAAATCGGGGGGAGGGTGATGATGATCATCATCATGGCGGCCATGTGTGTTAAAGTACTGTCTCCCAACTTATCTACAGAGCCTCCCTGCACCTTGTCGGTGTCAAGTGTCTTCGGATTCCTTGTCTTGAGTGCAGTGCAAGTGGCCAGGCTGACAAGCACGGCCGGACTCCGCTGTCTGTTGCTGCGCCTGTGTCCGTGGCTTGGCCGTTTCAGAGGACAGCGCATCTCCCGGGTTTGCAAGTCGGTTGCCCGCGCTGCAATGTGTAGCAGCTTCACCTTCTCACAAAGGTGCATTGTGTGCGATGCTTGCTGGAAGCGGGAGCGGACAAGGACACCGAGCCCCAGAGTAGACCACGTGCCAGTTTATGCTTCAATTCGCTGTAGCGCTGCAGGAGTGGCTGCGCTTCACAGCACAAGTCCATATAACCCCTGTAGGCCTACCACCCATTAGGCCCTGAGCCCCAAACACTGTGGATCGAACCCTGGGACCATGCCGTCTCAGACCCCAGTTTGCTAAAAACTGGTCTAACTTGAGCTGTCCATGGACTGAAAGACCGCACTAATACTATACTATACTATTACTATACTATTACTATACTATTACTATACTATACACCTCCATGACGACATCTGAAGAAGTTCACGGGAGCTTTCAGTGCTTCGTCTCTGAAGTTCAGCTGTCGGCTTTTGGCTTCAGGGCTTGGCCAAGACGCTGCAGCGCCTTTTGTGTCGGTCTGTAGATAAGTGTCTGAAACCTGCGGGGCCCCTAAGTTAGAGAACTACCCCTAATATAGGGGCTCGAATAATTAGCCATACTATTTTGGGGGGGCTCCTTATTATGATTATATAGTGTAGCTGACGAGGACAAAGCCACGGAAGATGGGCGCACGCCTCTCTTCGTTGCAGCAGAGAGCATCTGGGCAGCACACAGCATCTGGCAAGCATGGATGGAACCCCTGGCTAGCCCTACACCCCGGCAGGTATTGCAATGGCGATACTGCAGCAAGTGGAAGCGATGTATTTCATATGGGATTGCGCACATGCGCGCGCAAAGGCCAAAGCCAGAATCATGAAACACCTAGCAGCTCTGTCCGTGAATCCGTAGTCAGCTTTAAGCTACTTGTTGGGATGCCTGGCATTGAGTCAATAGGGTTTGCCCTTAAGCACCAGTTTCAAATTTTGATAGTAACTGATAGTAGTTGTAGCCGTACACAGGGACATGTACTTGTCGAGTTGTCGAGCCGGTGTAGTAAGTGCCATGGCTTCCGAGTCCCCAAGAGAGCGACCCGAGATCCCCGACAAGGAAGAGATCCCTGAAGGCCAAAGCCTAAGCCCTAAAGCCCGAGTAAGGCCTTGAGCCCCGAACCTAACCTCAAAGTCCTCGAGAGGTAGGGGATATTCGGGGTCTGCTGTTTCGCTTTTTTGGTTTCCGGTCCCCAAGGCGACAATGCCGCCGCGGTGCAGCTCCTGCTTGCAGCCGGGGCAGACAAAGATCGCTGCACCGACTCTTGGCCTCAAGTCCTTTGAGGGTCCATGGACTTGGTAACATGGGGGCCTTAATACTTACCTATACTACAGCGACAGCGCCGATTAAGAAACACTTATTTTTTCGTGAGGGGGGGGCCGATTTCTTAGTCTTGAAGCGCACCTTTTTTAGTAAGAAGTACATTTCTGGATTTGAACGTACCCTGGAGTTTCCAACTCAAATGCCTTAATTTGAACAGGCTCCAAAATTAACCGCACAGAAGACCGAGAGGCTCGAGCCCACAGCAGCTTCCCTTCTAGCGCATGTGCTTATCCACTCGGGAATGGCTTCGACTAGGCTTGTTTCAAGCCATATCGATATGTATACAGCTTGTATTCAGCCCTTACCAGCACCCACCAAAATAAGAAATTGAGCCCCTCAATTTCTTATTTTGGTGGTTCGTTTTATAAGGGCTTTATCAAGCCCCGATAACAGCCTTGGAGGGCTCCAGGGGCTCCATAAGGGCTTAATAAAGGCGTTTTAAGACTTTGTCATATGCACAAAAACCCACCAAAATACGAAATTTCGGGGCTCGATTTCTTAAATTTAAGAAATTGAGGGGCTCGATTTCTTATTTTGAGGTGTTCTGGCCGGCGCAAGAAACTGTCCAGGTTTTGGAATACGAAATCGAGTCCCTTAGGCCCTTAGTTTCTTGGTTCTTTTTTTGTGCGAACAAAACCGGCGAAATGAGAAGAGCAAAATAAGAAATTGGCTCGCCGAGTCCAGGGTACCTTGGATTTCTTATTTTCAAGTTGCGCATTTTTCTAAAACAAAATTGTCGCACGGCTGTCCGAAGGGCTCAATTTCTTAAGGTCAGAGGATGTTCTCTGGGTACAGGGGACTCGGTAGGTGCGTAAGGCTAGGCTATACGTAGCTTACTGAGGCACAGTCACATATAATTACAATTATATTCTTTATTTCCTTCGACCCTTACAAGGACCTAGGATCCTGTAAGTAGACAAGGCTGTTGAGGTTCTGGGGCGTGGGCTTTGAGGGCCTGAGGGGTGAGCGGCTTTAGGATTTGATGGCTTTTGGGGTGCAGAGTTTAGGGTTCAGGCTTCAGGCTTTTAGGGGTGCAGAGTTTTAGAATTTCGGGGCCAGGTTCTTTGGACTTTGGAGGAGTTCTTCTGTTGTTTGCATTGAATCTCGGAGGATGGGTCTAATGCGCGAAAGCCCCGTGTAACTACTAAGAAGGCTGCTATGCATACCATAATATATATATATATATAGCATACTATACTATTACTAGATTATACTATACTATGCTGTACATTGCACCTCCATGAAGCTCCCAATGCTACCTGCTGAGTTGCAGGGCTTCCCGGGCTTATGAAAGAGGACGACGAGCGCAAGCCACAAGCCTAGAGAGCCTCAGAGGCCGAGCTTCGCCGCATGTGGCTGGCTATCGTTGTTATAGTACAGGGGTTTAGGGTTTAGGGTTCAGGGTTATGGTTCATAAAGGCTCCAGGAAGCCCCAAACCCTACCTTAAACCCCAAACCCTAAACCTGAAACCATAAATCCCAAATCCTTTGGGGTGCTCCCCTGTCTCCCTGTCGCACGAGGACGAGGGCCGAACGCCGCTGTCTGTGGCCACGCGCGATGGCAACCTCGAGGTTGTCGAATACCTCCTGAAGGCCAAAAGATACGATTCGGCCTCCTTGAAAGGTGCTTTAAGGGTTTGGGGTTAGTGGGCCTCCTCGAAAGGCCCTTTAAGGGTTCGAGAATCCGTGGTTTAGAATGCTGGGTGTGGGTTTTGTGGTTTTAGGGCGTAAGACACGACTTTCACAGCCCGAAAATTCCCGAAACAGGGTCCTGATGAGAAAATTCCTGAAACTCCTTAAAGGAAGGGAGCCCACACAGACCGAAATGTTGAGGACCCTTGCCATATCTATGTTAGGGTTTAGGGTTAAGGGTGACCTAGTGTTCTGCAAGATAAGCTAAGCCTCGAAAACGCCCATATTCCTACAAAGGAGCCTCACTTAGGGGACCCGGGATTCCCTCACCTCTGGATCGCTGAACAGACGAAGAGCTTGGGTAAAATAGCTGCTGCCTCATTGGTACCCGCACCTCCATATTGGGATCGTTGGGGGAAGCGCGGCTTCTCCTACCACGTACCGACATTCCATCGAAGCGGCCGTATTTTTCTTGTGTGAGGTGTGGGGTGGAGGTTTGAGTCCTTCTGCACCGCACGTTGATCGATCGAGGGGCTCTTGAACTCGTCTCGGATTCTGCTCTATGCGCCTGGAGGCTTTACAGACCGCCACTGACCGGCCACTCACTCGAATTCCGCAATCCCATATTATGTTTGAACCCTAAACCCTAAACCCTAAATTGAAGCCTCGAATTCCCTGGGCCCCTTCATCCGACAGCTCACAGAAGCCCATGAAGCCCTCAGAACCCTCGGAGAGGCAGGTGCCATGGCTGACAAAGCAGACATGGACGGGCGGACGCCGCTGCATTTGGCTGCCGGGCGAGGTGGGGTCTTCTCATACCGTTGGGTTGGGATTTGAGTTTCTATTCTAATTCTAACGATCAACGACACACACACACACACGAGGGAAATAGTGTAGTTGAAAGAATTAGAGAGGCTTGTGTCTACAAGGATAATCAACAGTTATATTTACGCATACCCGTATCTGTATCCATATCCATAATATCTGTATCTATATCTATATCTATATGTCCATCTATATCTATACCTATCTGTATGTATATGCATATATCTATATCTACATACATTGGGTGCTTCCCCGCCCCATTA